GGTGATCATAGAGCGTCTATGAGGGAGAGCTTGGAAAAATCAGTACTATTCAGAGATTGGATCCGTTCGGAAAGAAGAAATTTTGGACTTGCTGAATCACAACCGGAGATAGACGAAGCTTATGAAGAAATGCTAGCGGAACTTGCGGAGGATGCTGCTTCGCCTGGAAGCGGTGATGAACAAGCTTCTTTTCCGCCACCACCAACGGAAATTCCTCTGAACCTTGAAGGATTTATGAAATTTGTTAGAGATAATATGTAGACTAATATGTAACTTATATTTTGGCACATCTTCATTAGTTTTTTTTCTTTTAATGGTGGTATTAGCACCTTGTTGTGCTCATTCCATTGGGAGGAGGAAGACTAAGAAAGATATTGCCATTTTTTGTTAATGCCGTAATAATAAAAATTATAAGACATTTCCTTGAATATTTCTTTACAATTTTTTGCGTTTAAATTTGAATTAGAAGATTTAAGTCACAATTATATAATATAATTTACAAGAAATTACCTTAGATAAAAAAAATTCAAAAAAAAATAGCCCGGAACACTTAGGCCCGTTTAGGCATAGCCCGTGACCATGTGGGCTTAGGACCACAGTGGGCCGGTTCCACCCTCCAGGACCGTTAAGCCCGGGACCGTTTGTCCTGGGACCGCTTGAGCCCGGCCCGTCAGAGCCCGTGACCGTTTGTCCCGGCCCGTTAAGCCCATTTAGGCCCGGGACCGGACCACAATACAGCCTTATCCTAAATAGACTCATGGAGAACCTGTCCCACTAGTAAGACAATCACAAAGAACTCATAAACCACCTACCTACCTGCAAGATTATGTACATTCCCTTCCTCACCTCAAAACAAATTTTGTTTCCCTAAATGCCTTATTCTTTGCGAATCATCATATTGCCTTTTATCTACTAACTACCAATAGTCAGACTCTTGTGAGAAATGTTTGTCATGACAGGGAACCATCATCATATGAGGAGGCAGCCATTGATCCTGCATGGCAAGCAGCAATGACACAGGAATTTGAAGCACTGTATTCCAATCACACTTGGGACCTAGTGATCCTGCCACCTGGGAAGCAGGCAATAGGTTGCCAATGGGTCTACAAAGTGAAACACAAAGCTGATGGCAGCATTGAAAGGTTCAAAGCCAGATTGGTTGTTAAAGGTTACACTCAACAGACAGGAATTGATTATACATAAACTTTCTCACCAGTGGTGAAGATGACAACAGTGAGGACCTTAATAGCTACATCAGTTACTGGCTCATATCTCAGTTGGATGTGAATAATGCTTTTCTACATGGAGATCTCATTGAAGAAGTGTACATGCAAGTACCACCTGGACTAGTTGTAGACAAGCCAGGATTGGTTTGCAAACTGAACAAGTCCCTTTATGGCTTGAAACAAGCTAATCGACAATGGTATGCAAAACTGACTGAAGCACTGTGTTCAAAGGGTTATGTACATTCTATGTATGACTACTCTCTCTGTATGACTACTCTCTCTTTTACAAAAGGAATGGAGAATCCTTTGTATATGTTGCAGTATATGTGGATGATGTGCTACTCACTAGAACTGACCAACAAGAAATTACACAACTCAAAGCATTCCTGTATGAACAATTTCAGATCAAGGACCTGGGGCAACTACATTACTTTTTGAGGTTGGAGATTATGTATAAAGATGATGGGGTAATCATATCTCAGAGAGAGTTTGTATTAGACTTGTTAAAGGAGTACAACTGTTTGGATTAATTACAAGCCTTGTTCTTCACCTTTGGATCCCACTACAAAGCTGAAGGCCAAAGAAGGCACTATTCTGCAGGACCCTACCTATTACAGAAAGCTAGTAGGAAAACTGAACTTTCTAACTAATACTAAATTGGACATTGCATATAGTGTTCAACACTTGAGCCAATTTATGCAGGAGCCCAGGGAACCCCATCTGAAAGTAGCATTTCACCTCCTCGGATATCTGAGGAATGATCCTACTTTAGAAATTTTCATGTCAAAGGATGGAGATCACACTGTCAAAGCTTACTGTGACTCTGATTGGGCGGCATGCCCGGATTCTAGGAGGTCCATTACAGGTTATTTGATACTGCTGGGCAACAGTCCTATCAGCTGGAAATCTAAGAAGCAAGAAACCATATCTTTATCCTCTGCAGAAGCAGAATATAGAGCTTTGAGGAAAGTAGTGGGGGAACTAGTATGGTTGA